GCGCCTGTCCCTCACGAAGGGTGTGAGTCTCTCCACGGTCTCGATGTTGTGCGCGAACACGTCCAGGCCGCAGTTAGCAATGGTCGCGATGCTCTCCCGATTGCCGCGGAAGTCGGGCACCAGGCACTCTACCAGGATCTCGCTGTTCCTGCAAAATGCACACTACTCGTGTTAGTTAACCGTAGACTTTCATTGCCGGAAAACTCTTCCCTCTCTTCTCAATTTTTTCGAATCTTACTTTTTTGGCAGTAAGAACTAATTTAAGTATTAACTTTGTACTTACTGTCGTTTTATTTCTTTCACAGTTTCCGCAAAGTGTGAAGAACCACCATCTGGCAAATCTGTGATGAAACAAATTATTTAATACCGAAAAGAATTCTTAATCCAAAAATTGGATCATAATTTTTATCTTTACATACCATCTCTGTCGACAGATGTCAACACAATATAGCCGAGTCCCCACTGACCCACAGCATAGGCAGTGTTGCGAGGCTCATCCGGGTCCAGGGGGGGCGGCGCACGAGAAGTCTTTACAGAACAAAACATGCAGCCGCGTGTGCAAGTATCGCCCATTAGCTGGAAAATATGAGGAATCTTTGTTTTTAGAGTCAAAGGGTTAAAGACTTTAGAAGGAAATTCCTTCTTAAGCAAAACGCTGGAAATAATAAAATATTGAATTCCTGTAATTAAGGTTAAATCAATGGTTGCATTAATTTTTGATTTCTATATATATGTATATCTTAGACCTTTTCATAGACTGTTAAATGATCAATTTACCATGATAGTAGCAGTAGATGTGCCATGCTTGCCTCCGCTCCAGCATTCACCAATGTTAGGACACCGTGCCTCCTCACACACTGTACTCAACTTCAGCCCACGGAGCTGCTCCTTTAGTGCACTGAACTTTGAACCTTAAAATGAAAATAGTAATCCTTTTTATTGATAGAAAAAACTAAGCTATGGTCATTATATAGTTGAATTAGACAAAAAATGATGCAACTATGAAATTATGAATATCTTTTCTGGTTGTTGAAATAAACGTCTAAATAATGATGATGATAGAATTTGTGCTTCTACAAGTGTTTTGGCATTCACAATTAGTAGATAAAGTTAAAAACTGAGTGAGACTAACCTGTAGGTATAGATGTCTTTAACCAGGGAGGTAGCCTCAATCTTTCCACTTCACCTTTCTCTCGTTTCAGCTTCCCCTCATAGTCATCCCAGTTGGCCGGTCTATCTTCAGATATGAAATCAGCTAAACCTGGACCCTCTCTTAGCTTTTCTCTTATAGCATCCAATTTACTGGTGTGTTTACATCTTTTAACCTTTTAAGTAAAAATAAAGTTTCTCATGACAATATCATATATCGACAATCTTGACACATTTTGCTATTTATTTGTTTGTAATAAACAAATTGAAGTAATCAAAAAAGTCAAAAGGTCAAGACAATACACATCTCTTATCAAACAATATTGATTTAAGAAGCCTTGAAGCTTGATGTGTAACAAATGAGTTAACACTAAACATTCCATTGAGAAGGTTTAAGTTCGATTTTACAGAGAATATTATACAATTTTGTAAGGATCTTTTAAATATTAAGACTTAACTTCACGACATTAAGTCATATAATATATCAATAAATAGATTACAAAAACAAACCAAAGGAAAAATTATTAATTATGTTGCAAAAAACTGAAATAGGAAAAATTATGGACTTACTTGACCTCGTGCTATCAAATTTACTCTTAATGTATTACGAAACATTTTAAATCATTTAAAAGGAGACATTAAAACATAAAGTAAATTTTTTATGGCAAAATTTGTGGATAATTATGAAAAAAGATTGAGCGAGCGTGACATAATAATGACATTGGCAGTTGACATATGTTATTTGTCAAGTAGACAAGCAGTCTTTTTTTGTTGGAGTCGAAAAGTCAAAAGTCGTAGTCAAAGAGTGTATAATTCAATCAAAAAATGAAAATATATCGAACAATGTGGTTTATAGAAATTAAAAAAAACTTCTAAATAATGTAAAACCAAATTTTTATCCTGCAAAACATTTTTTTTAAATAATTAAAACTTTTGGAAAATTAATTAATTATATAATGGCAACAACTTTTGCCGTGTTGAATGGAATGGACGATTGAAGAAGACTGAAGACATTAATTTATTAAAAATGTAATTAAATATTGTTTAGATAACCAATGTCAAATCAAATCGTACAACGTAACCTTATCGTTTCATTAAAATTTTCCTAAAAACGTTTTAAAGTTAATTTCATATGAATAAAATAAATAGCGACCTTGCACTTCAACAGCTGTCAACCAGCAGGAGTAAGACAAGAATGGAATAAACAAAAAATACAATAATATATTTTCATCATGAGGACCGTGAGTTCCCATCTTCTAGAAGATAAAATGGATGATGCCGTCACACATTATATCAATTCGCACCAATCTACAGAGGTATTATAATTTTTCTTACTTTCCTTCTAATTAAGAGAGATAAAACATTACGTCTCATTAGAAAAATATATGGTATCAAAGGAACCAAAATTAAGCAAAAGATCAGTTCAAAATTAACATATTGGCTCTCATTAAGAGCTAAGACATGGGATAATTCGTCAAATACAGTCATTTTAGAGTATTATTTTTTTATACAAAGGCTGTGCATGTGGATGCCAATTCTCTTGCACTAAACGTGCAGGACGACGGCGGTGGTCGGGTGGTAACAGTGATGCAGCCACTCAGCTTCTCAACATCACAAATGTGCAGGTAAAAATATGCATAGTATATCAACAAAATTGTTTCAACATGATAACATACATGTGTCGTAGTTGTTTGTTGGTTGTTTTCAAATCTATACTCATATTCATAGGGTCTGTATAACAAACATGATAAAGTAAATGTTAACTTTAAGATAAGATATTCTTGGCTGAATTGTACTGAAATTGGTTTATGCATACTTGAATTTACTAATTTAAATATTGAATTGTCATTTTCCAAACCACATTTAGGTAGAAAAGTTGTTAAAAAATTATATACATAAATACACAAAAGTAAATTTACATACTGTTCTGGTTATTAATTTACATTATGACACAACTATGATTCTCAATAAATTAATTTAATGGTAGATAACTCACACCGTGTTTGAAATAAATAAATGCATAATTTCCAGACAAGTATCAGTCAATGATCAAGTGAATGAGGGTCAATGGAGTGAAGAGCTTATGGACCCTGACGGGAAACTGGCAGCTATAGTAGCACACCTCTCACGACCATCACATCATCCAACACATCATAAGGTGAGGTGGTGACTACACAGTGTTTCCCTTTGATGTGATTAAACCTTGTTGACATTTGTAAATCCTGTCTTAAATAAGACACTATACATCTCTATTGAGGGGCTTGGAGCCTACTCGAGTTAGGGTTGACTAGGCTATAGTTAATCACACTGGCCCAGTGCGAGTTGGGTAACTTCACGCATATCTTTGAATTTCTTTATCTTTTACTATTTAATATTAGAAATATCACTGTCTATTGATATATTTGAATATTAAGATACTTTATGTAAATGAAATTTTCAGATATCTGCAGTGAGGAATGATGTAGATGCGTCAGTTATATTAGATGCTCCTATGAGGTTGTATAATGGACCATCATTGGTAAGCTTCAATTACTGTATACATAAACACTATGTTCATGATAAATGATGAATTTAATTCCTTGTAAATTTAATATTTTAGGATAGTACAATGTTAACGGAGCAAGATAGACAAGTATTGGATATAGCAGCGAGTGCTTCTCCAGTACAAAATAAACATCAAAGTAAAAAGAGTCTCCCGCATAAGAAAAGGATTTCGAAAAAGTTAAAGCGCAACACTGGAAATAGTACTCCGCAACAAGTAAATATTGAAGATAATGGCAACCCTTTCATAAATGTTAGAAAGTTTATAAAAACACATTTTACCGTCCAATCTTTTCCATTCACCATTCACTTAGATATTTATCCCTTTAGTATTCTCAAATCAATGTTATATTATTCTTCTATTCATTACTTATTCTTGTGATAATTTGATTTATAATTAATATAGTTCAAAAACTACATTTAATAAATATCTTTCCCGTTGTTGTAGGACCAGATAGTGGTGATCCACTGTAACCCTCAGGTGTCGCAGGAGGAGATCCTGCCCGACAACTTTGTGGGCGCTGTGCCTCATCCGGACCACCTCGCAGCTGACCCTCACCATATCGCACATGATGTATGCATTATACTAATAACAGCTAACAAATCTTACTGATATTATAAATGCGAATATTTGTATGGATGGATGGCTCAATGGATGTTGAAGAAATTCGGCATAGATGTAGGAAATAGTGTAGATGTACACATAAGCCACTAATTAAGCTGTTTTTTCCGCGCGAACGAAGTCGCAGACGACACTTAGTAGTGTCATAAACTTATCAGACTTTAATTACATTAAATCATAAAAAAAATTAAGCAAAACATAATTATATCATTCTTATCATCAGGTCAAATAAGTTTTTGTATCATTGCCATGTAATTAATTTTTTTATTTTGTTATTTGTTATAGATGCGGCCCATACTGCTGTGTCAGTTGTGCGGTGAGTTCTACGGAGAGGACCAGGTCAAGTTCTACCATCATCTCCGGCAGCACTACGAGCCTCACGGCACCATCATCATCGAGAACCCTGTACCTGACCTCTCTATTGATAAGGTTTCCACACATCTCGGATACACAGTAGAAAATGCTTAACGAAATCTTACTATTATAAATGCAAACGAATGGATGGATGGATGGATGGATCACATGGGCTACTTATTAAGTATTTTCTAAATTCTGCGCGGACGGTGTCGCGGACGACAGCTAGTATCATATATAGCAAAAAAAAATATAAGTTGTATCCAAGCATCCATCCGACCATTAATAAGTAATAATTCCTTTCAGATGAGCAACACCTGCATAGTAGACAATGTACAATCTCTCCCCGACTCCCTCGTTGAACTTTCTCTAGAGAACACAGTGCCCAAGTCGATATACCAACCGATGGACAAGCACATACTGTACACGACAAGTGATAAGACTCTATCCTGTCACAATAAGGTACAATATACAATAGCAGGTGAGAAAGAACTACCTCAGGATAACGGCAAAGCGGACCTGTATGAAACATTGGGCAAACTCGACTTATACAACTGTCCGAAATGTGAAAAGTCCTTTAAAAAACAGAAGCAATGTGAGGAACACGTTAAAGAGGCGCATTTGAATCCCAAGGTAATGAAAACATACTTTTTTTATATAATATATTATATATAGATTTAAGGACTTTAATAATATACGTATGTACGGTACCGGACTGATTCAACGCATATAGTGTCTGGAGAGTAAATGAGGAAGCTTTTAATAACAGCGCCATCTAGCATTTCCACTGATATATTGGTGTTTTACAGCTGGAGGACATGGGCGAATTCAGCGAGCCGGAGGACCTGATGGCCGGCATCCATGTGGCCGTGGAGGACGGCGAGCAGTACGAACCCACCTTGCTGCCCCACCTCGTGGTAGAGAATGGACACGTGCACCAGGATCACGTCAGGCACTGGTCAGATTAAAAAAACTAATTAAAAATCTTAGAAATTGTGCAATTTGAAACCGTTTGTGCAAGTAAGGGGATCTTTTACTGATTACATTACAACATTGCAGGTACATGCGCGGCAGCGGTGAGATGTGCTGCGACGCGCCCGACTACTGTGCGGTGTGTCCCGCCCCG